ATATCAAAGCAAATTTCAGGAACCATTGGCTCAGTTGCGATCATGTGATGTTCGGTGTCACATATTACCAATATTACAAGACATCACTCATTTATCAAGTTAAAATTTATTAGAAATGATTGCTCGTCTTGCGGAACACTTGCAGAACAAGTTAATCGCAATTCAAGGTTTGACTGTACTGGTAAAGATGTAAATAGACCTCTTTTGGGGGGTGCCTGGGTGGCTCAGTCAGTTAAGCATCTCACTCGATTTCGGCTCAGGTCAGGGTCTCACAGTTCAACAGTTCAAGCCCCACATTGGGCTCTGTGCTGATGGTGCCAGACAGGCCTGCTTGGGATTCTGTCTCCCTCTCTCTCTCTGCCCCTTCCTCACTCATTCTCTTCCTCTCTCAAACATAAAAAAAAAAAAAAAAAAGGGATTCCTTTGGTAGTTACAAAGCCAAATTGTAGGTACCATCCAAACCCAGCAATCATTCTTAAAGAAGGGATGTAAAAGCCCAGCACGTGCCACCAAGCCTAGCACTGCTGGGTCCTGGCAAGGGGGAGATGTAAAACAGACAAATGGAGAATGAACAGCCAGCTCTTGCCAATCTGAATCTACTGAGCTACAGGGAAAAGATCCAAATGTTCATCCTGCTTAGCTATCTACAGGTCTTTTAGCCTCAGGCAGGCCATATAACCTTTCTGAGGGTTGGCTTTTCCAGATGTAAAGGGGACAAGAACAGCTGCCACCTAGATTATCTTAAGGATCAATGAGTGAAACAGGATTTTAAAGTACTTAATGAACTGTTAAAACAAGACACAGACGGATGGGGTCACAGCTGCTCCTGACGGTGAGCAGATGCAATCGATGGACTCATTCCCTTGTTCATCAGACACTAACAATACCCACTCTGTGCCAGGCCCTGTAGGGGCTTTGGAAGGAGTAAGACACACCCATGCTCTCACAGAACTCACAATCGGGAAGAGAAATGGGACCTGAATACATAATTCTAGCAAAGGCTGAATATTGCTGCTTAAGAAAGGTACAGTTAACAGGTGGCCAGGTGAATTCAGGCTCCTGGCCCCGCAACCTCATGGTGAGTTCAGAGGGGGTAGGAAGGGATGAAAAACAGCCACAAAAGCACAGGTCCAAGACAGGAAGTTGAGAGGGGCGTAAAGAGGAGCACAGAAGGTAAACGCGGTCGTGAGGGCTGGGAATGCTCAGGTGAGAAGTCACTGGGAGGCAGGGTCTGAACGGGGGGTGGACTGAAACCTCCCTTGCAGGATTTCTCTTTCACCTGTGGGAGGGGAATTATCTATCACTCACTCTATGATACACACGGGGAAAGGAGGCTGAAGAGAGGAAAGGAACTGTCTAAGGTCACTCGGTGGGCACACCAGAAGAAAGCACTTCAAGTCTGGTCTAGATCCTGCTACTTTCTGCATGGGCTCAACTCCATACAGCTCAAGCCTTTATCAAAGTCCCGCTGTGCCAGGCTCTGGTGAATGTCAGTGCTGCCACAGGTTCCACGGAACAGTGGTTCCCTGTTGTTTCCCACTCTAGGCACTACAGCCACTTCCTCTCCAAACTTACTTCCAAAGACTCAGTTGGGCCTAACACAACAGCCAGAGAGATCTTTCTAGGACACATTCCTCCTATGTTTAGCCCACCCCGGCTTGCTATAACCAACAGGATCACATCTACACAGAATGGCCTGCGGGGCCCTCCACAATCGGGCCCAACCTCACTAGACAAAACCCCAAGGCCTACAGTTGGGCCCTCGCGCACTTGACAGCCACCCCGCTTGCGTTCCCCCAACCCTCCAGCCACGCTGGCCGCCTCACAGCACTATTCCCTCCGCTGGAAACGCCAGCACCTTCTTCACCAAGCTCATCATTCTTCAGGGCTCAGATCACGCATCGCCTCCCCTTCCCTGACAGGTCCTTCCTGCCCCCCCCCCCCCCCCCCCAGCACCCCACGTTTCCTTCGGAGTCCTTTCACAACAGTAATGAGGTCCCCGTGTAACGTGCTGTCTGCCGAAGGGCAGAACCTTCCCCAGGCACAGCACAGTGCCTGCCTCGTCCGCAGTGGGCACTTCGACGTTTGTTCGGGAACGAACAAGAACACGGGCTTGGCCTTCACCCCCTCCTCGTCCCAAGGGTCTTCGGCTAGACTTCCCCCGCTTCGCCGGCAACGCTGGTTGGTTCTCAGCACCTCCGCGCTCCCACGACCCCTCTCCGGGCCGCTGTCATTGCCTGTCCACACACGCTCTCCCGCAGGAGGCTCGGGGCTCCTCCAGAGCAGAGCCTGCTCTCGTCACCCCGGTACCGGGCGCCCCGCCGAGCTACAGTCCGCGTGGGCCCCAAGCGGCTGCGCTGGGGGAGCCGCTGCGGGGAGCTCGCTCGGGACACGCCTCCCCTCCCCCGCAACGTCCCGACCCCACGGGGCCAAGGTCGGCCAAGCTCTCGCTACCAGCCCTGGCGGCCCTCGGGTCCCAGAAGAAGCGAGGCGGCCGAAGTAGCCCGGCCGCCTAAGGAGCCTCTGCAATAGCTCAGCCATCGAAGACGGGCATTGAGTCCTCCCACTCCCAGCCAAGCTAGGCCGACAACATGCGCTCCCGCGAGAACTGGCGCGGGAGCAGGAGCCGCGGGCTCCTAATGTCACAACGCCTGACACTAGGCTGCGTTGACAGTCGGGCCGGGAGGCCGCGCTCCCGCCTCCCGAGCGGCACTCGGACCTAGTCTTACCTCAGACTCCAGCTCCGGGACTCACTCACCTTACGGCCCCTCCTACCACAGCCGGCCGCGCAGCCTCAACCGCCCTCACTTCCGCCGATCCGCCCCCGGAAGTGATCCCCTGCGGCTGCGCACCGGGCCGCGACCTCGCGCGCCCTCATCAGGCGGACCCTACTCAGGGCGGGGCGAGTGCGCCTTCGGCAGGGGCGGGGCGGCGGGCGGCCTCAGGTGGGGACGCCGAAGGAGGGGACACGCCCATCCCCGAGACCACGCCTGCGCTGGCCCAGCCCCTGGGAAAAGTTGACTATGCTTGCACATCCCCGCGGCCTGATTGGTCGCATCCGCCGCTGGTGTCCGCCTTCTAGGTGCTCTCCCGGGGTAGTCCCGAGACGACCTCTAGCAGCGGATGTCCGACTACGTGCCCCTCTCAGACGCCCAACTTGTGTGGCGCCTGCTGTCCCTAAGCCTACTGCAGCCTTGAGAATCCTCCACCTGGCGCTCTCCAGGCCCTCCGGACCCAGCTCTTGCCTTATCTCGCCTTGGTCCCCTTTTCACACCTCATGTTTCCCAGCCAAGACCCTCTACAGCCTTCTGTCCGGCAGGAAGAGGCCTCTTTCTCATCTGGCTCTTTGTAATGTTTTCTATTTTAGCCGTTATATATCTCACAATCTACACAAGGCAGCTTCAGTGAGATGGGAGATTGATGGGCAAGACCCCAGAGGCATTGGGAAAGAGACCCACATTCCTTCCAGCGTCACTCACCCACTCCCTCTTTGTTCTTAAACCCTCACCGTCCTGGTCCTGGTCTTCATGGCAGCCAGGCCTGGGTCGCATGCCCTCCTGTGACCTCAGTATACAGCAGTGCCTGGCTCCCAGGCCACAGTTCTTTGGTCCCAGCTGCCAGGGACAGGCTGGCTTCATAGCGGGGACCGGTTTGGGCAGTCACACAGGACCTCTTGCTCAGAACTCCGTGCTTGCTCTAATGCTCTGCTATCTTCCCCCCTGAAATTAATATATATGTAATAAAATTTAAATATATACATATATATAATTTTATATTATATATATTTTTAAACAAGGGGCCCTGCATTTTCATTTTGCACAGGATCCTGCAAATTATATAGCTGTCCTGGCCAGAGACCTCAGAGTTGTCCACCCTGATCCTTACCATGTTTCAAATGATGAAGGTTGACTTCCAGGTCCAGCCCTCTTTCCAGGATGGCAAATTAATCATTGATTCTCTCTCCTGGTCAATTGCAGATCTTGCAGTTTCACCCCAGTTGTCTCTTCTAGGGGTGGCGGATGTCTTGGTGCTCAACCCAGATCTCCTCTACCCTGCCAGCGAATCCATCCTCCAGCTGCTGTGTTGGCTGCACACAGCTGCCCCCTTCTCTGGAAAATTGCACTTATAAGAGGGAGAACAGAGGCTCTAACCTGCGAAGTTACTTCATCCTCCAAATCAACAACTAACACAGGGTACAAAAGGCAGGTTCTACTCTGTGGTGTGGCTTGTGTTCCAGAACCTTTCGCCTGTGATCATTCTAGGGCTCGGATTGGAGATTCTATCCTTGCTTAACATTTTTCTTTTCCCCATTGTCATTCCTTCTTTTAATTAAAAAAAAAAAAATGTTAAAGCTTTTTTTTTTTTTTTTTTAATTTTTTTAAAGTAATCTCTACACCCAGCATGGGACTCAGACTCATAACCCGAGATCAAGGGTCCCATGCTCCTCCAACTGAGCCAGCCAGGCACCCTTTCTTGACTCCTTATACAGGTTTTTCCTGAAGTGTAATCCTTCAAAAAAATTATCTAATGCCTGTCTCAGGCTCTGCTTCTAAGACAATGTGTAATTAACTTTAGAATCTCAACACAGAACATCAGATTCTAAAAATAGTAGTAAGTTCTACTAACTAGGTCTATCACAAACTTACTTTAAGAACATCACTTGAGGGCCGCCTGTATGTCATTTGAACATCTGACTCTTGATTCCGGCTCAGGTCATAATCCCAGAGTCTCAGGATCGAGCCCTGAGCTGGGTGTAGAGCCTGCTTGGGACTCTCTCTGTCCCCACCTAACTCTCCCCCTGTCCCCTCAGTTTCATGCTCTCTCACTCTCTAAAAAAAAAAAAAAAAAAAAAAAAAAATCACGAGCCCTCTGGTGACAGAAAATTGAGTCCCTAAAGGCATTCCAGCCATGCTCCCTTGCCCATCTGCCAAGCCAATCTCACAAGAGGAGTCAGACCAAGGATAGAACTAATATCCTACTTAAAGGAAAGGCAGAACCACCCTAGTCTCTCCAATTTTATTATAAGACATGTGGACAGGGGAGAGAAGTGGCAGAGGGGTGACAAGAGGGCAGCTAGGGCCCTCCCCCACCATGAGCTTCAAGGCACAGTTGGGGGGGGGGGGCGGTCAGGAAAAGGCATGAGATGAAGATCAGAAAGCCCAAGCAACCAGCGCCTTACAAGGGACAAGGATTGCACAGTGTGGGGTGGGCCCTCCTGGACCACCATGGAGGGGAAGAGCCTGCCGGGTGGGGTAGGGAGGTGGAGTCTCTGCTGACACTGGGTGGCTCATGGGACTGGCTACTACCACCCACCCCAGGAAGCACTGAGACAGACTTCGGTGCCCTCCCTCCCTTTAAGGGGCATAGAAGCACTGCCTCCCAGAAAGGACACAAAGAACTTGGCTGAGCTTGCTGGCTCATGCCTCATTTTGTCTGGGGATCAGAGGGGACTGAGACATTTTGGTTTGAACTTTTTCACCTCAGTGAAAATGGGCAGGGGAGAGAGGTGGGGGTGCAGTGCAAAACGAAAACACCAAAATCAAGACACAGGCTGAATCTCAACTCTACCACTCAGTGACCTTGGGCAAGTCACTTCACTTCCCTGAGACTCAGTTTCTTCATCTGCAAAATGGGATCGATTAATATCTCCTCACAGGTTGTGAGGATTAAATGAGAAAATAGAAGTAAAGTTAACAGAGTGCCCGAGAGAGAAGGCTCGGTATGGATACTTCAATGGCAGGCAGGGGTACTCAGCATATGGGAGGCCCGGGAGTGGTCTGAGCAAGTGTCTGCCTTCCTCTTCCAGGCTTAAGAGTGAGCCCCTGTGGGGCAGGGTTTGGGGAGGTTTGGCTCCAAGGCTTTAATGAAAGCCCAGGGACCCTCATGGGCCTGAGTGGAGGACAAGGATAGGGTTGGGGGTACAGTGACTTTCTTTTTTAAAAAGCTGGAAGAAAAGGAAGAGAGGAATATTTCTTCCCATAGGTGCAGCTGCAAAGACATCAAGCTGGGCCCATCTAGGATTTCAGATCCAGCCATCATGGGGCTGCTGCTGGGGGAAGACACCGCCCCTTCTTTCTCCTCAGTGTTGGGGTTATCAAAAATATCTACAAACTGTGAGAAACTTCACGTAAAAACACTTTTCTGCAGGTATAAAAAAGACTGGCTGTAGTCAGTGGCTTGGGACATAGACCAAGGCCTTAAGAGAGGCCAAGCAAGGTCAACGGCCATTCGGTGGGGGGCACACGGGTCTGGGCTGCCCTGACAGCTCTGGGGGAGGCTGTGTTCTTTGGCTGAGCTACACTTCTGTGGCGCTGGGGCCTGAGGGGCAGGGGGCTGGCTCCAGTAGTCCTACTGTGACCCTTGCTGGGTAGGAGGTGGGGGTGCCTTGGCCCTGGGCCTCGGAAACTCCTCAGTGGACTCCCTTGCTAAGAGCAGAAGCCTACTTCACAGTGAACCTCCCCAAGCAGCTGGCTTCCAGCCAAGTCCCAAATCAGGGGTTGGGGTCCTATCATTAGGTTGGATTGAGTGGTCTGGAGAGCTGAGGTCTGGGGTACAGTGACTTCTTCTGGAGGGTTTTTCCCTGAGCCTCCAGAAGGCTGTCTCCAGCTAAAACTGACTCCCCTGGGGACACCAGGCATAGGAGGGCAGCCAGGAAGAAGGCTCCAGACAAACAAGAGTGCTTCCCTGGCAACCTCTCCCCAGCCCCCAGTCCGGGCCTTCTTAACGTTTCTTTCGGGGGAGGGGGGCGGTGAATATAAGGAGAGAGGGGCGCCCTGTCTTCCTGGCACCACGCCTCCCGGATCTTCACCCCACAAGGACCTGGGCTTCGTGCCTGAGTGGGTGAGGTCCAGGGAGATGACCTGAGGTCCCGTTTCTGGTGTCCTGAGCAGCTTCTGGAACCACGTGGGTGGTAAAGGGCTAATGGTGGCAGCTGGAGTCAGAGGTTCATCCGTCCGGTCACCCCAGGCACCCCCTTATCTGACCCTTCACTGACCTCCGACCGCACAGGCAGCCTGGGAGTGGCGGGGTGGGGGTGCCCGAAGTTTGAAATGTGCCAGGACCGCTGGCTCTGAGCCCGAGGGGCCTGTCTTCAGTGTTGGAGGCCTTCGCCTCAGCTCCCCCCCACCCCGTCCAGCCTGGCCTCTCATGGTCTGAGGCCACACTAGGGCTGGAGGAGGGGCAGGCCGCGCCGAAGGCCTTCCTTCAGGAACTGCATGTAGGTGGCCGTGGACGGGTCTTCAAAGGTGGACGAGAAGCTGAAGACGTTGTTCTCAATATCCTCAGGCTTCATGGAGGTGATGTCCAAGAAGTAGTTGGCATTGATGTGGTGGACCTGGGAGAGGGTCTGGGTGAGGAGAGTGAGGGGGCCCCTCTTGCTCCCTGTCTGCTCCCGCTCTCTTAGGAAAAGGGGACGCTCAGGCCTTGACTGTCCTCGCTCCGAGGCAGATGGCAAACACGCAGGGCAGACGCCAACCAGAGGCTGTTCCCCTCGCCCACCTCTGCGCACACAGGGCCCTCTGCTGGCAGACCTCTCCCACACCCCACCTGCCGGGCGGGGACCTCCTGCTTCTCCGCCTTTTCCTCGCCCCCACCCCCCACGGCCCCTCTTCACCCCCGCCCCCGTTCCTGTGACCCATGAACCCCACACTCCCTTGGGCCAAAATGCCGACCCACTCTGTGTGCCCGCTTCTCCCTCTGCCTCTCACACTGGCTAGTCCGCTCCTTAAGGGCAGGTGCCCAGTACAGGAGCCAAGAAACACAAGGTCAAGCGAGCAGGAGAGCAAGGTCCCCAGGCCAAGTTTTGTCTGCCGAGCTCTGTGAGGCCAGGGCCCTGCCACGGCCGGGCTCTGCTGGGCTGAGCAGTGGCCCTCTTCCAGGCAGGACTCAGCTCTGGCTCCCCCACTGCTCCCCGGCCTGACAGCCTGGGGAAGCTGGTCACCCTCCCACGGCCCGCAGTCCCACACTAACCATCCCTCAGGACTCAAAGGGTAAGGGGCAGGAGATTCTGAGGCTCACAGGCAGGCCTGGTTTCAAAACCAGCTGCATCTCTTAACCGTGCAACTTTCGCCAAGTTTCTGCACCTTTTTGAGCCTTAGTGTCCATGTTTGCAAAATGGGCACTCGTGACTGTCCATCTCCCAAAGCCATTTGAGACCTTGACGAGAGTGTCGAGTGTGTGAGTGCTCGTAGGGGCCCCTGAGGAGAGGTAGGGTCTTGCAGCTTGGCTCGGCCTGGGGCCCCCTGGTCCTCTCTGCTTGTCACAAGGCCTGGCCCCTGCTTCCTCCTTCCATCCCAGAGCTGGCCACAATGGTCTAGGGTGAGCTTGCCCTTCCTGTCCACTCTGCCGCCGGCCCGTGCTCACGGCTGCCCCATCCCCAAAGTGCTACTGAGGTCCTCCTTCTCACGGGAGGGTCCCAGCACCTGGTGGGGCAGGCAGGGCGGGCAGGACAGTTCCCACTTTACAGATAGGGACAAGTGAGGCTCAGGCTGCTGGGAGACCAGCAGGAAGTAGTGGAGCCAGCCCTGAAGCCTGAGGCGATCTGTAAGTCCGTGCCCTTGCTTTCTGCTTCCTCCGCCCCGCAGTGCCTGGCCCGGGCTGGGTGCAGATACTGGGGGCTGCCTACCACGGTGCCATTGGGCAGGCAGATCATCATCTCCACGGGGAAGCTATACTTCTCCAGGTGCAAGTCTGCGAGCTTCTTGTGGGATGGGTTCTCCTGGTTGTTCTGTGGGGACAGTTGGGCGTGCTCCTGATGCCTCAGTCTCCAGCACTCTCCCAGGGCCTCCCACGGGGCTATTCCCGTCTGCCTGCCACTCACCTGCATGTCTTCCAACTCCCTCACCAGAGACCAAGTGCTGATGAAGCTCTCATTAAGGAGGGCGAGGATGGGCGAACTTTCCAGGACAGTCTCCCGGAGAGTCCGCCCTGAACCTGTTCAGGGAACAGCACGGCGAGAAGAGTGAGGCCCGCTCCCATGTCCTACTAGCTTTTCTCTGGGTAATAAACCTCGTGGGCTGTAGAACGGTCTGTGCATGCTGGTGAGATAACAGATTCAAAGAGCCTGCCACAGAGTAGGTGCCGAATACTGGGTAGCTGCCATTGCAGTCAATAATATACTGGCATCCTGGGCGGAGATCTGTGGGGGGGGGGGGGGGGGGGGATCAGCCAGGGACTTGCAGACAGTGGCAGCTTCTTAAATCCACTTAAACTCTGTGGACCAGGACCTTTGCACGGATTGTTCTACCTCAAACACTTTTTCCTCCTGTCACTTGATAAATTCCTACTTATCCTTCAGGTCTCAGCTTAAAACCACGATTTCTAAGAAGCCTTCCCTGAGCCCCCCGTCACACTCTGGATCTTCCCCTGGGTGATGCTCCCCACCCCACGCTTGAACTTATTCACTCCACGTCTGCCTTCTGCACACACCGTGCTCCCCAAGGACAGGGACCACTTCTGACTTCCTTATTAGAAGACTCTCAGCACCAGGCTGACGCCTTGGTGCAGGAGGTGCCCAGGAGGTTTGTCGATTGACTGAATGAGGGCAGGGGCACCGTTTTACTCATCTTTGGGCCCATTGTCGGACACCCAGAATCTTTGTGTCTAGTAGGCCTTGGGTGAATCTTCTGAATAAATGAATGCCTGGCCAGCCTCTGGCACTATTTTTTTCTCTCGCTCGTGTGCAACACTTCACAGAGCCCAGGCACTTTTACATCCATCTTCACCACTCTGGGAGTGAGTATGTTATCCCTCCTTCACTGTTGAGAAAGCTAAGGCTTAAGGAGGGGAGTCTCAGACCATAACGTGAACCTGATGGTGAAGAAGGTCAAATAAGGCCTCTCCAACGGCTCTTCCTTTGCCAGCAGGGCGGCCTCCTGTCAGAGCCCCAAGGCTCTGGGGCCTCAATAAAGTTTCCCTTTCATTGGAAAAAAAAAAAGGAGGGGAAGTCATTTGGCCAAGGTCTCCACGCTGAAAATGACCGAGCTGGGCCCCTTTCACTGCGAACAGCAGCTTCTTCTGAGCTCGGCACACAACCCCTTCTCCCAAGCCCTTCTCCCACGCCCCTGCCCTGTGTAGTCCCCAAGTCCCTTCCCCGCTATGTTCCAACAGGACAGTCCTGCTGGTCTCAGAGCCACCTGTACCCCATGAGGTATGATATCTCCCCCAGACTGGCAGGGTCTCCCTCACCTCAGCAGGACTGGTCATCCAGGGCCCCCCACAGCAGAATTGAGTGCACCAGCTTGTTCTTGGCCTTGGCTTGGTCGAAGGCCTCGGTGAATGGCAGATAGGCAACCTGGGGCCAAGTGGAGACAGAGAGAAGCTACAGTGTGAGGCTAGGGTCCTGTTCAGGAGCTCTGTGTAGTGTGTGTGTGTGCGTGTATTTGTAGTGTGAGTGTGTGTGTGAGAAAGGGTATTGTTGAGCCACGGGAATGCCTCCTCCAAGTTCTGAATGGCCAAAGAGAGGAAAGAGAAGCCCCTGGCCAAGCCCTGCAGGGAGGTGGCCTCAGCAGCAGGCCCTGTACCCAGCCTGGAGACTAGCACCCACCTGCTGCTCCCCCAGCCCTGGCCGCATAGAGCCCGCCCCTCGCCCTCACTCCTGCCCACCTTCTTGAAGGGGTACATGGCCACTTCTAGGCGCCGGGCAGCCTCCTCCCAGCTCAGCTCCTGCTGCCACTTGATCTCCTCAAAGACAAACTGGAGGGGCTCCCCTGAGGGTGGGCGGCTGTCGATCATGTTGCCATCCTCATCCAGGATCACAGAAGGCACCGACGGGCCCACGGCCTCCAGTTCCATCTGGCCCAGAGGTCAGTGGGGGTTGACATCACTGAGGGTGTCTCAGAGATGGGCAAGAATCCTTAAGAGACCCTCAAAGATATCCCAATCATTGCAAAGGTGGAGAAACTGAGACTCTGGGAAGGGCAGGGCCTGGTCAAGGCCGCAGTGAGTCTGGGACACAGTCAGTGTCCATCAGGGGCTCCTTCTACTATGTGAAGCCACCTGGGGGCCGAAGACAGCTGGTGGGTTTTCTGTGCAGGGTCTGGTGGTTTCCCAGAATCCCGCTTCGGGGACAGTTGGCCTCAGCCTGCCAGGGGCTCTGTCCTTCACCCTGGACCGCCTGAGACACCTAGCCCTGCAGCTGAATCCTGTCTCCTTACCTGGGTCGGGACCACTTGTGTGCTCACCTGGGGGATATAGCCAATGTCCACCTCCATATTGCTGTTCTCACTGGCCCCATACAGCCACTCCATGTCCACATTCAGAGACCTGGGGACAGGTGAGAGGGTGGCCAGGGCCGAATACCCCCACCACCAAGGCCCATTAACCATACATCAGACTTTGAAGTACACAACTCTCCCTGTGTTACAGATGAGGACACTGAGGCCTGGCAAGGTGAACCCAAGTGGTCTCGGGGCCACTGGGGTTTTGACAGCCGAGGCTGGGCCCTTTTCTGTCCCTGGGCTGCCTCTGCCTAAGGCACTGCAACCACACAACACTCCACTGGCCCTGCCCCTTATAGTTCACAAAGGGCTTTCACATCTCCAGGTCATGTCTCCAGTGCTGCTCAAGACTCTGAGGTAGAAAGATCATCAGTGCCTCCCCTAGGACACAGAGAGGGGCAGGAGCGAAAACCTGGCACCGGCCTCCCTGAGCTGGCCTCCCCTGCGTGCCCTCTCCCACAGGAAGTCTGGCCCCACCATGAGCCATCTGCACATCTGCCACACGAGGGCAGCCCAGCACCGACAACTACCCACCTTGGGCCGGGGGAGCTGGCCAGAGGAGGTGGGCAGCCAGCCCTGTGGCCAGCTCCTGAGACACAGGCTCAGGAGATCCTGGGGCTGGTCGTTTGCCCCTGCCCTGTTTCATCCAATCCGGGACCCCCACCTCCAACTCTGGGGGGCCGGGAGGGGGGTGGGGAGGTAGGTGTGCCCTGGGCTGAGCCTCTACAGCTGAGGGGAAGGAGACAAAACCACTCTGGCTCCTGGGGACAACTTTCTGTTCCCAGGCTATCCCAACTATCACTCTTGCCCTGGAGCTATCCCTTCATTTAGCAGATGAGGAAACTGAGACCCAGAGAGGGTCGGGGCCTTGCCCACAGCCATGCAACCCACTGGTGCCATGGTGGAGACTTACTATGGGCCTCCCAGCCAAGGTCTTGTCCCTGTCCTGGGTCACTCAGACCTACTAAGCAGCCTCTTGCTGTCAGGGAGGAATCTGGAAAGACTTGAAGCCAGGCCCTCTGGGTCCCATGCTCTTGACAAGAGGCTGATCCTGAGCAGGTTGGGCACACAGGAAAGCTGGCATGGAATTCTCCCAGAAGCCCCCTGCCCTCTACCCCCCAGGGCCTGAGGTAGCAAGTACAGGTGGTGGAGGGTCTGCCCCCGGGCCTTTACACATGCTGCTCCCTCTGCCTGGCTAAACCCTCCTAACCCCCCAGGTCTCTGCTTAGATGTCTCTTCCCCTGGGAAGGCTTCCTGGACCCTGACCGGGCAGATCCCTGCCCACCTGCCAGCCCTCCCCTAGGGGGACATGAGCAAGCTGTGGTTACAGGTCTCTTGGAGGTCTGTGAGCAGTATGAGGGCACTGGGCTCCAGCTTTGGGGAGGGTCTGTTGGCTGCTGCCCTGGGTCCCAGGCACAGAGTTGGCAGTCCGGGCCAACTGGGCCATGGTTGCCAGGTGATGGAATGACCCACCTCAGCTCACCTCAAGTTGCCTCCTCCTGGGCCAGCTCCAGGCCTCCCCCAAGAGAAGTGGCTCTGGGGAGTGAAGGAGGGGCAGCGACTGAGGGGGCCTCGGGGCCCCTGCACCTGAGCTCCTGGAGCTGGGCGGTGGGGAGCGGGGCAAACTGTGGTGGGGTGCAGGGCTGGCCTGGGGCCCAGGCTCCCACCTGTGGTTGGGCACGAAGAGCCGGAAGTCTCGGACATGGGTGGCATCTTTGGAGAGGATGATGTGGCCAGTGAACTGGCCCGGCGAGAACCAGAAAGGGAAGTCAGGTGGCTCGCTGAGCTGGAACTCGGCATGGATCCTGGGGGGAGAGGAGCCTGGCTGGGACCAGCCCCCTGCTGAGCTGCAGCCCTCCCCCCCACCCCCACCGCCACCACACTGTGGCTCTTTTGCCAAAGCTGGGGAACCCTTGGCCAGATTCTTGTGTGGAGAACAGGGCTGGGGAGGGAGAAGCCCCAAGGCCCTAGAAGCACTGCCTGCCCTCAGGGCCCGGTTCACACTCCGCCTTCACTGGAGGCCACGTGTGACCAACTGTCCTCTGAGCCCTCACAGCTTCTGCAGGGGTGTGACCCGGTGTCACAGCTCTTCGACACTCCCCTCTGGGCGGGTGACAATCACAGCCACTGGCCTCATGCTACGCAAGCACCACGCTTTCCCCTTGTTCCTAGGAGGAAGTCACCACCACCCCCAGCCGCAGATGAAGAAACCGAGGCCCAGAGAGCCAACACTGCTCGCCCAAGACCAGAGGGTGGTATGCGGTGGCACTGGGGGCCACCAGGCAGGCCCTGCCCTCGCGGCGCTGTGCCCTTCCGTGCTTCCCCCGGGTCCCCAGCCGGGCAGAGAGACCAGGAGGGGTCTCTGAGGACTACACACCGGAACATGACGGTGTAGTAGAAGTCGCTGATGGCGGTCAGGCAGGCGACAGCCCCCTGAGGGGCAAAGCGGGTTTTCACGAAGGGCCGAGGGTGGAACATGCTCAGGAGCCGGTGGATGATGACCTGAGGGGAGGGCAGTGGAGACCCGTGCCGGCTTGTTGGGTCCTGATCCCCTAGGTGAGTTTCCGCTCTGGACCTGCAGGCCTGGGCCTGGGGTGGGGGTGAGGAAGGGGAGGCAGGAGAGAAGGCGGGGTGGTCCTGGCACTGGGGGTCCAGGTGCGGAGCAGGTGGAGAGCAGGTGCAGAGGGGGCCGTGGCTGGGCTGGGGCTGGGTGGAGGGCCCCAGGGTCACTACAGGCAACCCTCACCTCTTTGCCCTTGGGCGGTGGTGGGTAGAAGCGGTTGTTGGATAAATAGCCGGTGAAGACGCTCAGCTCACTGGGGATGATCCACCACGGCTCCCCCAGCTCCACTTGGCCCCGAGGAGGAAGGAAAGGCCGGAAGTGTCGGGCAGCAAACACCGCGCTCGGCAAGGCCGCAGTCGTCCAGTTGCGGAGGCCGGACAGGGCCAGGCGGGAGACCTGGGGCAGCGGAAAGCAGAAGCCCTGGGGCGCTGAGAACCACGATGTGGGGGTCCCCATTCCATGAGTGGCTGGAGGTCTCCCTGGAGCCGAGGCTCACCTCACCCCACCATCCTCCACCAGCCCCCAGCCCAGGAAGCGGCACCCCCACGGCCTGCTCAGGCCAAGCCCAGGCCCCAGGCAAGCAGGGCCACCCGGGGCTAGTACAGGGGTGGGGGGGGGGTTTGCTCTGTGCAGGGGTTCTGCCTGCCTCTTTTCTCCCTGGTTAAGCCCAGTCACACGGCCCCGGTCCCAGGCCTCACTGGCACATGGTCCTGCCTCCCTCCTTTGCACCAGCTGGTGACCCCAACTGCCCCTGCCTGCCATGCCTTCTGCCAGCCTTGCCTTCTCCCTCCCCTTCTTCTCTTCAAGTCTCCTCCCCAGGATAATGTCCTGCCGAGGGGGCAGAGGGTTTGGGGGGAGGTCTGAGGAGAAAGGTGGTAACCACCTTGGGGGAAATCTCTGGGGCAAAGAGCAGGATGTGACCACAGAGAAGGGGCAGGAAGGCAATCCCCAGGGAGTGCCCACTTCCCCTGTGGCCAGCACCCCGGTGGCTGGGCACCTGGCATGCCTGGGGTCCCTCAGCCCTCTCCTGTCACTTCGGTAAGGTGCCCTCTCCGTCTGGTGAGCTGCTGTGCAGGATGGGACGAGGGTCAGACTGTGCAGGCCTGACTGTCTGCACATCTAGAACACTGAGGCAGGATCTGGAAGGCATCCTCCAATAACACCTGCAGCTTCCACCTTCTGTAGCCCCTCCCTGCCCTCTGCGCTCCAGGCAGGAGTCACATGGAGGTGGTGGCCACCAGGACAGCAAGTGCCTGGCACCTTGTGGGGGGCGGGGGGTGGCACTTGGCCACCAGGGAGCTGCCAGGTCTTCAACAGTAGCAGGCTCCCTCTCCCTTCCGCGCCTCTGTAGTGGTGGGGGGCCAGGCTCATCGCGAGGAGGGAGGAGGGGGGTTCTCAGAGCTATCCCCAAGAGGACCGAGCAGGCAGGTTCTCCAAGCAGGGCCTGCTGTTCAGGGCCAGGCTGAGCTGCCTGCTGCTGGGTCCTGCCCACGGGCTGGCCACCCCTGCAGGGGGAGCTGTCCACCAAGGGGGGGGGGGCTGCGCTCTGTGGGGCACTGCTCCTGACCCATCTTTCCTATAAGAGCAGCTGTGCCCAGGCACCCTGCCAGTCCCACCCCGTCCTCACTGCTCTGCCGGGGACTGATCTACTCGGACAGCTTCAACCAACTATCGCTGCCAACCTTGCCCACCCAGATCTTCTGCAGGTCAAACCTGTGTTTGCAACCACTTATTGGACTGTCCCCCTGGATGTCCCCAGGCACCATGACTTCAGTGCGTCCAGACTGACCTCATGCCCTCCCCACCAGACCCACTCCCTGCTCTGGGTCCCATGGGGCCAAGGGCCCACCCTGTACTTGGTCACCAGCCAGAAGCCTGAGCCACCCCTCCAGCCCCAACCCCCACTTTCCTTCCTCTCGATCATCACTGCTTCCCCACCCCCACCTCCTCTTCCTTCCCGAGAGCTGGTCTTCTCGTCTCCCATTTTTCCCCAGCTGCCGGCCTGCCGAGCATCTGACGAGGGAACCTTCCCATTTCCAAGTCTGCTGTGGTAACTTGCTGCTACAGAATGAAGGCCAAAGTCAGGCAACCAAGGCCCTCCGTAGTCTGGTGACTTCTTTTCTAGCCCCCTTGCATGTGTCTCCTGTGCTCTGGGTCCAGCCGCACCAGCTCCCTGTCCTCAGGTGACTGGCCTGGCACTTTCTGCCTTCAGACCTTTGTTCATGCCGAAGTGGCATTTCAGGAGAAAGGCTGAGTCGGTGTGGGCTGGGCAAAGAGGAAAAGCCTCTCCTGGCAGAGGGAACAGCATACGAGAAGGCTCACAGCTGGAACAAAGCCTCGACATCTGGAGCGGCTGGAACAGAGCAAGCCGGTGGAGGGAGGTCTGGGAAGGCCGGCAGGGTGTGGGGATGCCCCGGTGCCATGGTGGGCTTGAGACCTTGGCCGTGAGGCCTCAGGTCGGGGCGGGGCTGCTCAGGAGAGCATTTGTCAGGTGCCCTCCCCACCCTATGACCCCCTGCAAGGGACAGAACCTCAGGTCTGGTTCAACAGAGTTCAGCAGAGCGGCTGTCAGGTGCCAGGCATGGGGCTAGGGGCCTGAGGATGCATACAGGTTCAGGTCACAGCCCTTGCCCTTGAGAAACTCACAGCCTCGGGAAAGACCGAGTTACAGAAAGTAACGAGCCTTCGTGAGGCGCCTGCCTCCACAGTCTCCAGTGCTCTTGCTGCTTCCTCTGCCCAGGCCCTTCTCCCCCTGCCTCCCCTGGCTGAGCCCCCTTCTCCTGCAGTCTCTATCAGATTCTTCCTCCAGGAAGCCAGCCCAGATCCCATCTGGGTTAGGGGCTCATGCTTATCCCTCCTGCACCAGACGGTGTCCTAGACAACAGGGTCAGCACCGCACCCACTTCTGGACCCCCCAGGGCCTGGCACACTGGGGGGCACGGAGGGCAGTTAATAAAGGAAGGAAGGAAAGGGGGTGCCCGGGTGGCTCAGCCAGTTGAGCGTCCAACCCTTGGTTTCAACTCCGGTCATGATCCCAGGGTGGTGAGATCGAGCCCGGTATGGGGCTCTGCACTGAGTGTGGAGCCTGCTCAAGATTGTCTCTCTCTCTCCCTCTGCCCCTCTCCCCAACTTGCGTGCTCTCTCTCTGTCTCTCTCTAAAAAATAAAGATAAGTTTAAAAAAGAAAAAGGAAAGGAAAGAAGGAAAGAAAAGCAGGGCACAGACCGATTCTCAGGAGGTGAAGGTGCGTGTGCACAGATGATTCTGTATCTGTGGTCCCACCCGTGAGCAGTCTCCCCCGCCCCCCCCCCCCCAAACTCACCCCCAGGAACCCATCTTTGCTCTTGGTCATGGACTCCGGGATCAGAGGCTGGAATCGGGCTTCTATGGTGAGCGTCTCCTCGCTGGGGTCAAGGGGCAGCTCCTCCTCATAGCTGGCAGCAGGAGCTGAGCCTATGAGACATGGTCAGTGAGGTCCCCGGAGAGGGGCCCTGCTCTCAGGCTTCAGGGCCTCTCTTCTCGGGAAGGGGAAGCCCTGAGAAGAGACAGGTGAGTAGCAGGTGAGTGAGAGAGCCAGGCTTGGAGCTGGAGTAACAGTTAACGGACCGAAGTAACGACAAGTAAGTGTCACATTTTTGTTTCCCTGGAGCTCTGAGAAGCAGAGAATACCATCATTGCCAACTCTATCTCACACATGAGAAAGCAGAGGTTCAGAGAGGTGAAGTCACTTCCCAAAGGTCACACAGCTAGGTAGTGGGGGGAGTCAGGATTCAAACCCAGGCTTGTTTTACTCTAAACCCACAATCAACCATGACCCTCTTCTGAGGGCATTGTGATCTCAAAGACTCAGTTTCCTTAAAGGCTCAGGCACCAGGTGAGGTGGGTTCAAATCCTGCCCCTTAGCAGCCGTATGATGTCTGGCCAGTGGCTTGTTATGAGGACGGGATGAGAGAATTCATGTAGCGGTAGCACCAGGTTTGGTACAGAGTGAACCCATAATAAACTTGACCTATATTACTCCTACCAGAGGTTTCAGGGTCGGGTTGCCATGGAGCTAGGGCTCAAACCAAATTCTTCTGACTCCATCCCGTGCTCTAGCAGGCCAAGCTGGCTGCAGAAAGGCCACTCTCGTCCCCCCTCCCTTGTTCTGCAAACTGAGTCTGAGATGAACTTGGTGTTGGGCCCACCAAAGGCAACATGTGGGCAGGCAGCTGCCTCTCCTGGCGGCCGGGATCCTAGCACCAAAGAGAAGCTACTGTCTGGGGCTTGGAGAAGAGAGCATGCGGGCTCTAGGCTGTCGGTTCCATCTCCTGGGTGATCTGGGGCAAATCCCTCAGCCCCTCTGGTTTTCCCACATGGGGAATCGACACCGTGCTGCCCCGCATGTCCCTGTCATGGGGGCCTCGTGAGGAAACGAACGCTTGTCAGAGACTCGATCAGAACAAGGAATGAAAGTGAGAAACAAACCACCTTTGACACTGTCTTTGGTGTCATAAGCTCTGCGGCTACAACGTCCTCAAGAATGCCAGTTTGGAAGAGAGGACGCTTGCTTCTCCCTGGTTTTCTGGGTGGCCTTGTTTCCCCGTCCGTAAAAGGAGGGGCTGCAGTGGCAGTGGCTGAACTTGATTTCTTAGATCTTTCCCTGCCCGAGGCAAGCCAAGTCCAAGCCCTTCAAGTGTGGACGGAGTCATGATGAAGGTTTAGGGAGAAATGAAGCCTATTTCAGAAGGGGTGACTAACAGGAGGGAGGGGCCCTGGACACCTCTAAGGAAAAAGACAGTGAGTGGAAGGTCTTGTCATGGCTGCTGTCCCTGGGCAGGTTCGTGGTACAGAGATGATGCTTGGCATCTGCTGATGAACCTACTGACAGACCAACTGGGTGCGTGCGGAGCAGTTCTTAACCAGGAATCATCAGAATCACTCAGGATGCCTTTTTAAACTACAGATGCCCCGTATCCTCCTCAAACCTACTGAGCCAGAATCCTAAGGGGCTAGAATGAGGAAGCTGCCCCCCCCTTTTTTTTAAATTTTTTTAACATTTATTATCCAGAGACAGAGAGGGACAGAGCATGAGCATGGGAGGGGCAGAGACACAGAATCCGAAGCAGGCTCCAGGCTCTGAGCTGCGCGGGGCTCGAACTCACGAGGCGCGAGATCATGGCCTGAGCCGAAGTCAGACGCTTAACCTACTGAGCCACCCAGGCGCCCCTAGGAAGCTGCCCTTTTAATCAGCATTCCCCAGCAGCTCCTGATGCAAACCCCTGTTCTAAAGAACCATTGTTATTTCTGCATTTGTAAGCCAATGCAGCAAAACTTTCCAAAGAGCAATCAGGAAACCTTGGAGGAAGGGAACAATAGGAATGTGTAAGCTTATTAGGCCTGCCTGGTTTTTTCAATTCTTTTACTGTTATCAGAGATAATTATTAATAACAGTGTCCAGTATCTTATGGCCTTCTGCTTTTTTTCATAAAAAGTTTTATTTCCTTACAAGTGACTCAATACAGACAATTCGTAAAACCTTTAAGATATAAAGAAAATTAAACACACTCATAACTGTACCAACTAGACAGCCCGCTTCTGTTTCCTGCATAGATTTGATATTTTGGGCTTTGAATTATTTTAGTTTTTGTTTTCCTGAAACTTGGTTCCGTTTTGCCCTCGTAGTGGCCTACGAGGTAATGGAGAGAGGGATTATTTTCCCCTGATGGAGAAAAAGATTTATGTGAAAAAAAAAAAAAAAGCGGGGGGGGGGGGGTGGGGGGGGGCAGTGGGTTGAGCATCCCACTTCAGCTCAGGTCATGATCTCTTGGTTCATGGGTTCAAGCCCCGTGTCGGGTTCTGTGCTGACAGCCTGCTCAGAGCCTGGAGCCTGCTTTGGATTCCGTCTGCTTCTCTCTCTACCCCTCCCCTGCTCACGCTGTCTCTGTCTCTCAAAAATAAATAAATGCGAAAAAAATTAAAAGTGCCCTCAAGCCCAGAGAGCTTGTCATTATGAGGGAACCCACTCTCGCTGTCCATAAAAAAGGACAAGGAGGAGGCTGTGTGGATGCTCAGGGAAGTGTCTGCAGATAGAAAAGGTCAAAGCAAATCCGCACGAGGCTGACCCGTTTACCTGCCCATCTGCTTTCACGACAGAGCTGAACGTCACTGAGAGACACTGACACACATCTGCTCCAGCAAATTCACTTTTCAACTGACCCTCCTCCTCTGGCGGGGACTGTGGTCACTGGGCCAGCAAGTGGCCAACCTCCCTGACCCAGCCTGAGACACGGAAAGCCCATCACGTGCTTGGTGCTTACTCGCCCGAGAGCGGCCGGCATCTCTCCCTTGCCTTTGCCATCTACTGACCTACTTACACCCACCAATTTGGATAACAAGATCCCAAGTTCAAGAAATGGGAGAGAAAGGGACACAGCGGTTGGGGCAAGGGTGAGACAATGAGAGGCATTTAACAATTCATTAGAATGAGTCAGGCCCTCATCTTTATAAAAAAAAAATAATAACTGATTACAATTAGATAAAAATGGATTGCTAGAACGGGCTAGGAATCTGACAGCACCTAAGCAGAGTTTAATACTGAGTAATACTAGTGAGAACTCCTATTGAAAGCTAGCTACTGTATACTCTGCAGGTACCGTCTCTAACCCTCAAACCTGTGAACAGGTGCGGGACCTGGAGCCAGATGGCCCCGGTTCTAATCCTGGCTCTGCGCCTCAGTCTCCCCAACTATAAACGCGAGAATTAGGACAGCGGCTACCTCACGGGACACCGTGCAAATTAAAGAGAGAACGCAGATGAAGTGCTTCAAGTCATGTCTGGAAGGGGTCAGGCAACCTTAACTAGTATTTGCACTTGAGAACAGGCTCAGGCGGTGCCAGAAGAGCTCGCCCAAACCGCCAACTAGAAAGTGTCAGGGCAGGGAGAATCCCAGGGCCGTCAGGACCCATCATCTCCCTCTCCAGGTGGCCTTCCTGCTCAGAGCAAACACAGTGGCCAAGAAGCTGAAGGCCATGCCTCGGTGCTCCCCACCCCAGTCCCCAGCCTCTCCTGGTACCTGTCAGCTTCTCAGCAATGGGCTTGAACTCCTCCGGGCTGATGTACAAATCCCGGTCTGTGTCCAAGGAGGAAAAGAGAAAGAGGCCTTCTGTCCCCAGGGACTTCAGTGCTGACTCCTGCTTGGGAGGAAGGGGCTCCGCTGAGCACCACGTGAATACCCAGCTGGGGTCCCAAAGCGGCAGAGGGGGCAGCTCCCACCACCTGCTTCCTGAGTTCTGAGGACGCTTCCAGTCCACCCATTCAGATGTCACCTCTGCACCACCCCAGAGCCCCAGTCCCCGGCCGGGTCCCTGCTTCACTCTGCTCCTCCATCCACCATCCACTACCCCCCAAGGCTGCCCTAGTCTTCCATCTGGCCCCGTCTCCATTTCACTCTTTCGCCAGTGTCCTCCCCTGTCCCCCAGCACTGTCCCGGCGCTCCCCAGGTCCCCACCAGGCTCTCCAGGTCACAGCTTCGCTCCCTCTGTCCAGGTCACCTCTCTGGACAGCCCCTCCAGTCTGTCCCAGGCTCTGCCGCACGCTGGGCCGATGCTCCCGCCTCCCCGCAGCAGTCTGCCCAAGTCTGCCCGACCCCACCC